ATATTGCGTTAAGAACCACATTGGACTTGCTTTTATCTCTTAGTCTTTTAGTATTCATAGATTAGTTAGTTTGAAATATGCATTGCTCGGGTCCTGATAGTCACGTAAAGCTGTTTGTAGTTGATGCGTTTGAGGAAGGCCTCGCGTCAGTCGACAAACGCTTTACCTTTGAGGCCTGTGCACATTAATTGGGTTATCAGGTAGCGAGACTTGACCTCTGGCTGTGGCAGTACTTCCGGGTCACGGCATCGCGCCTTCCTGTCCCGCAAGGACGCGGCATCTTGAGCAGTTTTCCGTCTTTGGAGGAGTTTTGCAGCGATTCAACAGGCGACTCGGCCCGGACTGTGTATCAACTAACTTCCAGGTAGGAAAAGTTGGCATGTAGTTGGTATTCAAAGGTTGTAGAGTTGGCAAACAACGGTTCATGATATTTGTGTGGCGGCGTGTGTTTGGGCCAGTGTGCGCGTGATCTGGGCAGTGCTGTTTATAATTCAGTCAAGGAGATTCAAATACTTGTTTCAGTGCAGCTGCGCAAAGATAGGTCATAGTATGGATGTGGAATTATCTGAGAAATTTCTGGATTGTCCGTTTGAATGTTTGCCTTTCAAATTATTGTTGATGGAAGTTAGCAGCTGCCGCCTGGAATTTGATAACGTAAACGGAGAGTGAGGGTCGGTAGGGGGTTACGAGATTATGTCGTGTGTCGAATTAAAAATTAGCTAACATATTCTCGCAATTAAGTTTTACAGGCCTAAAAGGTCATAGTCACTGTTATGAAGGGATTCTGGTGTTCGTGATGAGGAAAGCGTTTATCTAAGACGAAGCCAATCCTGAGTATACTGTAAACCCCTACCTGAGCCCCGACAAATTCTCAGTCTCACATCTGGATTAGCCTCCTTTTCAGGCGTTCTCGGATCGGTCGTTTTTTTTTTTGTGGGGGGGGGGGTATTTTCTGATCAAAACAACTTGAAGATCAGCCAGTAGGTACCATCTAGGGTAATGAGGCAGGCCTGGCTTTGGCGGCAGTGGCAAAAGTGCAAAAGTGTAAAAGTGTGCAGGTGTGAGGAGTGTGCCAAGCAATTCAGTTATCTTAGTGCTCTGAAAACACACATGCGGACTCACACTGGGGAGAAACCCTACATGTGTGAGGAGTGCAGCAGGCAGTTCAGTCAGCTGGATAGTCTGAAGACTCACATGCGGACTCACACAGGGGAGAAACCCTACAGATGTGAGGAGTGTAGCAGAAAATTTAGTGATCTGGGTAATCTGAAGAAACACATGCAGACTCACACTGGTGAGAGGCCATACAGGTGTGAGGAGTGCAGCAGGCAGTTTAGTGAGCTTGGAAGTTGGAAAAGACACATGCGGACTCACACAGGAAAGAAACCCTACAGGTGTGAGGCCTGCGGCAGGCAGTTTAGACAGCTCGGTAATCTAAAGAAACACATGCGGACTCACACTGGGGAGAAACCCTACACGTGTGAGGAATGCAGCAGGCAGTTTAGTCAGCTGGGTGATCTAAAGAGTCACATGCGGACTCACACAGGAGAGAAACCCTACAGGTGTGAGGAGTGTGACAGGCAGTTCAGTCGGCTGGGTAATCTGAAGACACACATGCGGACTCACACAGGGGAGAAACCCTACAGGTGTGAGGAGTGCAGCAGGCAGTTTTGTCAGCTGGGTGATCTAAAGAAACACATGCGGACTCACACGGGTGAGAAACCCTACAGGTGTGAGGAGTGCAGCAGGCAGTTTAGTGATGTTAGGAATCTTAAGAAACACAAGCGGATCCACAAAGGAGAAACCCAGCAGAAGTGAAGACTGTTGGATGCTTTTTAGGGCCACAACTTATGATATAAGACAACTTGATGCACATTATGAAAACTTTTAAGATATGCTAAAAACACTGCATGGAGGCGAGAAAGCCTACAGGTTCGATGTGATGATAGCAGTATAGGCAGTTCACTGGAAGACTATCACTAGTTTGATAGCAGTGATAGCAAATTGTTTGGTTTAGTTAATCTCTTTTGATTCCTGCATTTCAGGGAGCAGCAGATGATCCCTTTAGGTATATATATTGTTCATGTCTCTTATTATAGTTACTTTTTATTTTTGTCATATAGTTCCTTTGTTTAGGAAACACCCCTTCTGTTATTACCTTACCTTATTCTGTTTTTCCCCTCTATTATAGGTGATATATAATGCACAGTTTCTTTAGTCAATGTAGAATGAAGTACCAAAGATCCAACTAGAAAATTAGTGTTACATGGATCTATGTAGTTTTGTTGTTTTAAGCATGTTGACTCTTTATCTTTTCTTGATAGCTGACATTTTTTTTTACTTTTAAAGCCGTTAAAAACATTTAGTTTTAAGTGAAGTTTACTAACATGTAGTAAGATAATGCTAAAACCTTTGTTTTTTCTTTAATTAGTCTTAATTTGTTGTAGCACATACGGTATTGTTCTCTTAGGTATTTTTTTTACATTGTTGTTCGGTTGGGTTCGCCTACTTAATTCTTTTGTTGTTAATTTTATCGAATTAACTTTGATAGTATCGATTAGACGATGTACATAATCAGTAACTAACATCGGGAAGTGATTGTACAGTTGAGTTAGCGGTAGGTTTGTATGAATGTACTAGTTTTGCTTTCTTATTAAAGTTTCCTTGACAAAGTTTGTGCCCATATTTCATGTTTACTGAATTATATCTTTTTACTACTCTACTTTCAACAAAGTATTTTGTATCTTATTTTAGAGGATAGTCATTCGTAGATTAAAAGTATCAGGGTCTGAGCCATTACCACTGATTGCCATGACGTTACAGCAGGTGGGCCTAGCAGACAAATATTTTGTTTCCTGTTTCCCGACCGCCCCCAGAAAAAACGTCCGACCCTAGCCTTTTTTGTGACTCTTCATATTATTAACTAAATCGACAATCTAGTAGATAGATTACCCTATGAATATATATTTTCCAACACTCTTTTCTAGACATAAAACATAGGTCGGTGTCGTCTAAAGAGTTTTTTGCTGTCACAAGTTATTCCCGATTACTACTTTATTACTAGCCTTTGTTCGAAATCACATACATTTGTTGGGTAATCAGGTAACGAATCTTGAACACTTGACCTCTGGCCGCGGCTGTACTTCCGGGTCACGGCATCGCGTCTTCCCGTCCCGCAAGGACGCGGCATCTTGAGCAGTTTTCCGTCTTTGGAGGAGTTTTGCAGCGATTCAACAGGCGACTCGGCCCGGA